TGTATGATTATATGATCAGGATTTCCTGATGCATCTCAGTAATCCAGGTAAAAAATCAAAAAGAAAGAGTATCCCTCTAAAACAGAAGTAAATAGTGAACAAAAAGAAAAGTGAATAATGAGCTTAGATCCCATTCATTATGCACGTGTGCACAAAGTGCTGCTGTTTGTAGGATTTATGTTTCTTTATGACATATTTAATGTTAAATTTAATTAGAAAACATTTTTTAATTTACAAAAAGGATAACTTTTTTAATGTGGGATTCTATGATTTACAAGTTTTTTTATTGGTAACTTTTAAATACCTTGCAAAAAGAATTTAATGTTCCACATTTTTTTTATTTCTGTAGCTATTTATTTGTTCAATATTTTTTATTTTATTTATTTAAAAAATGTTGATAAAAATTTATCATCTTTTTTTTGCCATATCCTTCAGCCCTAATGCATATAAAACCATCTTGGTAAACAGGCTGATATTAGTACTTTGTTTGGACAAATTTAACTGTTTATTACTATTCAGACATTGTACTTTTTTAGTTCTCTTATGTACTTGTTTCTTTTATTATACTGAACATGACATAATCTGTTGCTGGGATGTTACTGTCCAAAGTTTCTGCCTCAGCTAGGATAACCACGTCGTGAGAAGTGGCGACACTCGGCACACATCCTTCACATCTGGGCTCGCTGTCGTTGAAAAAATGAGCCGACGGTGCAGTTTTGTCGAATCTCGTGACTCTAACAGGCGCTATTTATGATTTGCAACGTGATGCCCACTTGTCCCCACCAGCAAATCAAACTCAGTGTCAAGATGTGCTGATGCTGTTCCAGTGGCAAACTCTCCCTCACTGCAACACTTTTCAGCTTTGGATGAAGAAGCTTTAAACCTTTAAACTTTTAGAACACCGCAAAACAAATAAGTGCTTCCTGATTTATTATTAAACAATCAGCAGATACATGCATCCCTTTAAGGCAGGGGTGGGCAATCCTGGTCCTCGAGGGCCGCAGCCTTACAGGTTTTATGATTTTCCCTGCTCCAACACACCTGATTCAGACATTGAATTACCAAGTTCTGCAGTATGGAGGACTGACACTGACATAACTAGAAAAAAAGCAGAAATATATAAATGGACCAGTAAATAAATTCAATTAAAAATGTGCCAATTAAATTAAAAAAGGAGAGCTTTATC